TGCATCGGATTTTGCCTTGGGTGCAATTTTGTCACAAATGAGAACAGATGACAAACTTCATCCGATAGCTTTTCATTCAAGAAAATTCTCAGCAGCCGAGATCAATTATGAGATCCACGATAAAGAACTGCTTGCAATCGTGGATTCCTTTCAAGAATGGCATCATTATCTAGAAAGCGCTTCTAGTCTAGTCACTGTGTATATAGATCACAAGAACCTCGAGTATTTCATGTCAGCACGTGTGTTGAATCGTCGTCAAGCTCGTTGGAGTATGTCTTTGTCAAGATTCAAGTTCGTTATCACTTATCGGCCAAAAAAGCAATAAGCTTTGTCCGATGCATTGTCTAGACGTTCTTATTTTGCACCAAAAGAAGGAGATGCAGCTTTTGAGCAACAAAGAACGGTCCTCTTGAAACCGGAGCAATTTCATCTCCGAGCAATGAAATCAACATTGACTGTTGATTCAACTTTTCTCAAACAAATCCAGTCCAGTATGTCCTCAGACCCTCTTGTTCATGATATCAAGAATAATTCTTCTAAGTCTCATGATTCTTCTAAGTTCGAGTTCAAGAATAATCTATTATATTTTGAAGGATGCCTATATGTTCCAGAAGGAGAAGCACGTTTACGTGTTCTTCAAGCATGTCATGATTTTCCAGTAGCAGGACACTTTGGATATAATAAGACTTTAGAACTCATATCAAGAGATTTTTGGTGGCCACAAATGTGGAAGTCAGTCAAAGACTTTGTACAATCATGTAATATTTGTTCAAGATCAAAAACTCCTCGTCATCGACCTTACGGACTTCTTCAACCATTACCTATATCAGAACAACGATGGTCTTCTGTTTCTATGGATTTCATCACAAATCTTCCAAGCTCAAGATGTTATGATTCTATATTTGTGATAGTAGATTGTTTCACCAAGATGGCACACTTTGTGCCATGTACAAAATCTATCACAGGTGAAGAAACAACTAAGCTTTTCATTGATAATATCTATCACTACCATGGATTACCTAAAGATATCATATCAGATAGGGGAACTCAATTTGTGTCGAGATTCTGGAAGACCCTTTTCAAGATTTTAAAAGTAGACATAAAGCTATCTTCGGCTTTCCATCCTCAAACTGATGGACAAATAAAGCGCGTTAACCAAGTCTTGGAGCAGTATTTAAGGTGTACCATCAACTACCAACAAGATGATTGGACAACCCTTCTGCCATTGGCAGAGTTTGCTTATAATAATATGGTACATTCTTCCACGCAACAAACACCTTTCTTTGCTAATTATGGCTATCATCCACGACTTGATGCTTTTGATTTTTTAAAAGTTGAAAATCCTATAGCAGAAGATATGGCAAATTGGTTGTTAGAGTTACATGCAATAATGAAGGCGCAGTTGAAGGAAGCTCAAGAACGACAAAAGATAAACGCAGATGTATATCGTAAGGAGCAACTACAACTCAACGTGGGTGATAAGGTATGGCTACTTCGTCGTAATATCAAGACCAATCGTCCTTGCGACAAGTTGGACTACCGAAAGCTGGGACCATTTTCTATTTCTGCACAGATCAACCCAGTTGCATATCGGTTACACCTACCGGAGTCAATGAAGATCCATCCTGTATTCCACGTATCTCTTCTTGAACCATATAAGACAATGGATATACAAGGAAGAAGACAAATGCCACCGGCTCCTATAGAAGTGGACAATAATGAAGAATTTGAGGTGGAAGAGGTATTAGACTCAAGGCGGCGCCGAAATAAGCTGGAATATCTTGTTCATTGGCATGGATATGATATTAGTGAGCACACATGGGAGCCATCAAGGAATCTAGCAAATGCATCAGCTAAAGTTAAAGTTTTTCATGAACGACATCCATCAAAACCAAGATGAAAACCTCTCTTATAAAAGAGACAAGATCGAGGTAAGATAACATTCAATTTCCTATCCTTGTTTGTAACTTCTTTGCATTTGTGACGCTAATTAGATGGAGAGCCAACAACCAGCGGATTCAACTCAATAACCTTCGTTTGCTGACTTACCGGATGAGACATTGCGATTGTCACAACCTTCAAGACGACGCAATCGAGATGAAGATCTTCAAGAACGACATGTTCTTCCTCGTATAGATGGTGAGATACAACGCGTTTGGTATCACGACCTTGGAAGAGATTCTCGATGTTTGGTGATATTGCTAGAGGTAGGAACAACTCTTGATGGTGTTCCAAATATTCTATTCGAAGGAAGTTACGAAGGCCTCAACAATGATCAAATAACTGGGTGGTCTTCCCGTCCTGATATGGGACACTACCGATGGTTGAGAGGCCCTATCAATCATCTTCGAAGAGAACAAAGATCAGAGTATGTGGCGAATACAATTTGTCGCATCATAGATTTCTTCAACATATGATGACCGCTCCTCGTGGAACTCGTCTCTAGAAGGGGGGGTAATGTCACGGCCATAATCATATAAGCTAATAATTACATATAGAAATAGGTAGAAGTAAGTAAAAGTAAGTAAAAGTAAGTTAGTTCTATAGTATTTAATATAAAAGCTTCCTAGAAACTTCTTAGATGTTGCTTTGACTTCATAGGTGTCTTTAATTGACTTTTTGGATTAGAAACGTGGTCAACAAGTTGGCCATGTGCCACACATGTTGTTAGCTTGAAAATCAAGCTAACTATGTGGCCTACATATAGAAAAATTTGTCTTGTAAGTCAAGGCATGTGTCCTACAAAGTCAACACATATTGGAGGTCCTATAGAACGTCGCCACGTAGCCCCTAGTTAGATAGTATATATAGAGACAAGAGTGAAGGCTTCTTCACTCTTGTCAACTCCTTTCTTACTTCTAGTCTAGTTTCAAGGGTCTCTAGTTTTTTTAGCTTTTGGCAATAGCCATTCTAGTTTCTCTTTCAATAGACATACTTGTTTATTTATATTTTGTTACCTCTTCTTGAGTGAAGGCTCACTCATTTGAATTGTTTTTTTTATCGAGTTCTTGTCCTTGATATCTACCTACAATCCATTTAAAGTACCTTTTGACAAGGAAGAGAAACAATAAATAAATAAATAAATAAATAAATAAATAACAACTAAAAAGAGAATGATTGCTTGAATATGACCTCAAGCAAGAGTTTTCTGACTTTAATTACTATATAGAACTACAATGTGTAGGACTTCCTCTAAGCAATCTTAGTTGTAAAAAAGAATTTTGTATCACAATAGTAAGGAGCCTAATTCTCTTTTTTTCTTGCCTCTTTATACTATGACAATAAAGAAATTACCTACAATAACAATTAATAATAAGTTTTTATTGTACAAAAGTGCTCTTTACAAAACAATCAAACCATGTTGAAGAAGAACTTATTTAGCTGTATCTCCAACCAATCTAGCATATGTTAAAGAAATCCTACCTGCAACTTTTTTCTAACCAATGTCAAATTTAAATGTCAAAGGGAAATTTTTAGATTGGAAGAGGAAGGATTTTCTAAGGTTCTATTTATCCCTTTAAAAAAAATATTGTATAAGGGCTTTGAAAGTTTTTTTTTTTTTTTTGAGTCTTATTCCTAGGTTCTACCTTCCAACTCCTAGCTCCTATTCCTTACATTTAAGCAAACTTCTTAAAATTTCAAAGAAAAAAAATAAATGTCAAAGTCTGAGAACTTATTTGATTTTAAGGTATTAGCGTTACTTCTTCTTTTTGTATCTCTTTTTCTCACCTCACAATCTATGTTAGCAAAATAAATTAAAAATCAATGAATTTTATTAAAAAAATATTTAACTTGGATTTGTTGGTCTTCACTTTTCCTCTCTTCTTCTTTTTGTTTTGTTTTGTTTTGTTTGTTATTATTTTTTATTCTTTCTTTAAACTTTTCTTTTCTATTTTTTTCTATCTACTTCTTTTTCTTCTTAATTTCTTTTTCTTCTCTTGTTAATGAAGAATTCTTTTGAGTCCATGTTGAGTTCTTTTCTACACAACTATTGTGAAAAAAATAGATATAAGGGATAGAAGAGGTGATTAAATTCCCCTACCACTAGTGAGTGGCCTTTCATAGGAAAATTATAAAGATACAAAGAAGTAATACAAGATGTATAGGAGGTGATTAAATCTCCCTTTCAATAGAAAAAGACCCTCAATAGGAAATTGACAAGGAGGGGGACTGATGATGCTTGCAAATAAGCTTGTTGTTCCAAAAACCCAACTCTTTCTACCACTCCAAGCTTGAATTTTCCACTTAATAATTTTATATACAAATATCAATTAAAAAAATTTCCTAGTTGTCTTCCAAGCTTATTAGAACAGTCTCACTTCCAACAAACATACCAAAATGTGAGGTAAAATAAACCCCTACTAATTGGAGATTTAATCTAGTTCATAATAATTTTAATTATTTAATACTTCCAATCCTTCTTTATTAGCAATTGATTAAGTATCCAACAACTCTAATGAAATTACAATTGTGATTTAAATAAATCCTTCTAATAGGTGATTTATTCTAATTTATAACTATTAATTAGCTTATATTTTAATTACTTAAGTTGTATCCTTTCTTGTTTTAGATTCTTAATTCTTTAATTAATAAAAATCCACACTCATATAATCACAACAAAAAAAATCCACACAATTATGCAATTAAAAAAAAACAAAAACAAAAAAAAAAAAAAAAAAAAAAAAAAAAACATGCAAATGAAAGAATATTTTTTAAAAGTTTTTTTTTGTTAAAAATAATTTTAATTTTAATTTTTCTTATTTAGTATTAAAAGTCATCCAAGATAAAATATCATCTAAGATAATTTATTATCTATGAATAAATTTTCATCCACAAATAAAAAATCATCCAATTCAATCAAATTTCATTTATGATTTATCATCCAATTGATTTAAACTTCATCTATTTAAATCCTAATTTATTCAAAGTTGGCCTAATTCATCTAATTCAAGAGGACCTCATTCATACTACTCACATGCATGCAAGAGATGATACGACCATTTGAATGCCAAGAAGGATTTGTATTTTTTATTTTGATTTATTCAATGGTTTGAAATCCAAGGAATCATAGGAGTCGACGATAGTCTGCCTCTAGCCACCAACTAGTCAAAAGAGTTGAAGTTGATGAGATCAAGTTTGGATATAGATGCTCGTCCGCTTGGCCTCTGATCTCGTCTTGCTCTCTCTAATTTCAAATGCTCTGGTTGCAGCAACAACTTCAAGATCTCCATGCTTCGCCGAGTATCCTCTAAGCTCCTTCACACCATTCGTTGGTGTTGATGTTTTTTCCTTAATAATGACTGTTTGTGTCCATGTTAACTACTACTACAAGGGAATAATGTAGCATTGACTTCCTACGTTCAATTTGGAGATCATATCTGGCCATCGAGATCACATCGACAAACCCCAATTTTGTTAGTATCTAGAGGATAACGAAGTTCTGGATGCCCTAATTCCTAAGAGTATTCATTAAGCACAAAGATAATAGTTGTTCACAAGTACAAGAAACCATGTGTCATGGAGAAGCAAGAATTCATCTTGCTCTGACACAAATACCGAAGAAGATGCTAACTTGACACTATTATTCTATGGGACGAATTTGTAGTTGTTTAATTTAACTTGACAGTTGAAAATCAATCGTGGCTACTTGCCAACGAAGGAGGAAGAATCAATGGAAACTAGACCAAGAAAGAACATAATTTACTTTGACGAGCACCACTATTTTCGGAAATACCCAACTTGAATTTTGGAATTTGAATGTTGAGACATTAAGCTTTGATCAACCACTAAGGAGAGCATCAACACTGATCACCGATCCTACCAAAAATGCTGCCCTAGTACGGCGCTCCCAAATGCGACGCTCTCACTAGCTCGGAAGCTTAGTCAAAGATCCACACAAGGCATCAACCACCACAATCTACTTTGAAGCATAATAGAAAAATTGGTAATGTCGCAAGTTACCGCTGTTGGAACAACCTACTCTGCTCTTTGCAACACCAATATACAAGAAAACGAAGAGACCATCGATTTGAAGTGATATCTGCTTGCTATAGTGCAATAAGGAAGAACGAAGACGATGGTCCTATACTACAGCTCCAATCTTACACACCTAGAGGAAATAACACAAAAACAAAACATCCTGGAGTGCCCGCAGTCCAAGAATACGTAGTAAAAAAATAAAATAGAAAAGAGAGAGGGGGTCCAAAGCGGCCCAGACTCCTATCAGGGATGAAGCTCCATAATTTCTGCCTCATCCTCAATTGTTGCACCCAATAACCGGGACCAAGACGTAGGCCTAAAACTTGAATGACAGCCCGTTTGTGGTTGATACATGCCTAGATTACACCACTATCATTCCAGTGTAGTATTTCCACTACATATCGTACGATCTTCAGCCTGTCTTGTATTGTATTATATTCTATATTTTGTATCCAAACTGTATTCAAGTCGTATTTAATTCTTATATGTATAGTCTTCTACAGATTGTAGTTCTATTAGATTATATCATATTTATATTATGCTTGTATTATATCAAGCCATATCTAATATGTATTTTGGTTGTATTCATTTGTAATTGGACTACACCTAGATTGTATTTGATCATATATGGACCCTCTCCAACCATGTACCTATTTGATGTACTCCAAGATTCCTTCTAAAAATTGAAATTTTCTATTAGAATTCTTATACATAACTAGAATTAATCTACTTATTTTGTTTTTATTTAGCATCTTTTACAATCTTTTTCAACTAATGATTGCTAATTGATACTACTCTTGCATTTTTTTTGTTTTAAAACAACCCGTGAGTCAATTTGATCACTGACAATTTTAACCTAAATAATTCTAAATCCATAACTAAGTCTTCTTCTTCTTCAACCTAAAATTCTTTCAAGCTCTTTCTTCAGCTCTAAGTTCCTAAAATACAATAATCCACAACAAAACTAGAAGATGGTACTAGCACAAGATAAAAAAAAAACAAATAAAAACACAACACAAATAAGCAATTGTCTTCTAAGCAAGTCTAAAACTTATAAGATAATCCTCCCAACAAATGCACCAAAATATAAGTTAAAATAAACCTCCACTAGTTTATAATAAGTGAATTAACTATTTTATTCTTAGAAATTTTAGCTCTTATTTAAATCTTAATCAATTCACTCCTAACCTCCTTAAATCACTAAGCGTGAAATAAACAACCCTCTACTATTTGGAAGGTTGTCTTAGTTCACAACAAGTGAATTAACTAGACAAGATTAATAAGTTGTAGCTTTTATTTAAATCCTAATTAAATCACTCTTTAATCTTATTAAAACACCCAAGTCATTATGCAAAACCTATACCATTAACTCACATACAATAGCCAATTACTTACAAAATTCATGCCAAAGAAATTCCTTCTCTTAACTCTTAATTTGATTTTTTGTTTGTTTATTTTATTTTATTTATTTAAACTTCATCCATTGCTAAAAAAATCATCCAAAAGTGAGTTAACATCTACAAATAACTTTTAATCCATAAATAACTTATCATCCGTGATTAGAATTCATCCATATCAAAAACTTCATCTTTAATTTAACCTTCATCCGATTCATGAATTTTTTCATCCAAGCAAATAAAGAACTATCGGTTATAGGAAAAGTGCTCCAGTTGCGTATGAATGCATCACCACCGCATAAAAAACTACTAGCAATGGTCATTGTTCTCGGTCGATCTTGTCATCCTTCTGATCACTAAAACTAGAATACACATTGGATTAAATCCCAACTGATCCACACTTGACATACTATCGTCAATCCTCCTACAGAGCTCTACAATGAGCATCTAGAATAAAGAGTCATCCTGGATCTATTAGAAAATTGTTCCCAAGTCATTTATAGACAAAAGTGCTGAGTTCGTGCGCTGAGCAAGCACGAATATTATTCCTAGCAATTCAGGTTAAGTTGGCTGCTGCTTAGATTGGAGTCGTACTCATTCTCTGCAAACTGGAAATGCTCCTTCAATCATTAAGGTTGGTACGAACTATATTTTTTTTCTTTTTTTCTCTTAAAACAAACTTGTGAATCATCATTGATGGCGACTACCTGGTTCTTTGCCACGTTGAAGTATGTGGCTGCGATAGAGAGACCTAGTCCATGCTCCACAACAAAAGTGCACATATTGAAGTTGTTGCGTCCAGAAGACACGGTCACAAGCAGGGGCTCTCTCGTCAGTTGCTTGAATAGCACAAAACGTAGCGATGAACACTGATGGGAGGACATGACCCGACACATGACACAACTTCTTTTCTTGATGTGCTTGGTTTAATGGCGCTTTGATCCACCTCACTTTGAAACTCAACCCAACACAATAAGGGAAAAAAAAAAAACTGATCACCGTGATCAGTCTCGTCAACGGCAACCAAAACCACTTCGAAAAAATAGACCGCAATGCCATACGCTTTTTCTTTTCTTTTTTTAAATTGCAGATCGACATTGGGCTCAGAGTGTGTGCATCATACCGACAAAGGAACCCTGGTCAGAAACCTCGCAAAGAAAGTCTGATCAACTGCAACGCTTAGACAATGGCTGCTTCACCATTGTTGCGTCAAGGCATCTTCCATTTTTGCATTGTAGAAATGGCAAAAGTCTAAAATTCACTTATTTCTATACTTCCATCTAAGTCACCATCCATTTTAGCACGTACTCTCTTGTGTTGCTAATCCATATACTATCAAATACTCTTGAATCAATGCTTTCATGCCTTTTTTACTAAAATTAGTTTGCAAGAGGTCCCATGTATCCTTCAATGCAGCCTTTCCGTTTTTCCAAAAAATAACTCCTTGTTGTACCATGTTATAAAATTCATTGTAATCCTTCCAAGTATGACAAGCATTGTCAAACTAAATGCATCTTTGTACATACCCTGATTTAAAAATAACCGTTAAATTGTTTGTAGAAGTCTTTTCTTCAAGATTTGAAGATCTTGTATCTTACATATAATCTCTTCAACTCCTATATCTTTTCTTTTTTTTTAAATGTAGATGCTAGGATTAAATAATAGGCATTATTAATTGTGCCATATATACTTGAGTTTTAGATGCTTATACTACTCTTAAAATATTAATCCTATCCTTTCTTTTTTCTTATTTTGTAAACAAATCCACAACATCTTTAATATTTCTCGACTTTATTATCGATCCTTCATCTTCTTCTTTGTCTTTAAGAAGCAACTCCAATTTTTCTTATAATTCTTTATCAGCAGCTTGAAGAAATGATTCAATCTTATCTCGCTCCAATGTTAACTTCTCCACCTTTGATAATTAAAAATATTGTCTTTCTAACTTCTTAAATAGCTTTATTGCTTGTAAATTCTTATTAGGCTATTAAATCTACTTTAGAAATAATTTCTTAGTAATATGATCAATGTCTTCTAAGAAATATTTGTCTTTTAATGTATGTGAAAATGTCTTCTATGAACTCCTATAATACTTCATAATTGATGTAACATGTTCCATTATCTTTGGTGCCATAGCAAGTCCAAATAACTCAATTATCTTCTTCTCAAAAATCCAATTTAATTCCATTTTCTATACGTAACATCTTAAACACTTTAAAATAATTCTTCTATCAAATTGATCAACTTTGTTATTCACTGCTTGCAATACTTTGGTTGCCAAAGCTTCCTTCCAATCATGGTTTTATTGTTGCTGCATAAAAAATGCAAAAGCTTAAAACATATTTGTAATGGTCAGATTCATGTACATACCTTATTCTTCACTTGAAGCTCTACTAGAAGCTCCACTTCCAACTCTAGTTGAAGCTCTTTCTATAGCTCCTTCAAATCTCTAACTTTCTTTTTCCATTAAATCAAAATAAAAATAAACAAACTCCAAGACCTTCCATCTCAAGCCTTCACATTAAATTCACCACTTATTTTGTATAACAAAAGATTTGATTGAGAATGTACTAGGCACCTAATTGTGGAAGATAAATAGAAAATATAATAACAAAATCCTATCAAGTCTAATAGAATCTTAAATAACTTCTAAGTAATTTTTAAAAATCATAATCAAACTTTAATCAATCCAAAAGAAATTCAAAAGATATTATAAGAGAAATATAAAGAAGTCATAAACTAATCTAAAAATAATAATAATAAAAACTTAAAGAAATAACAATAATCTTAAAAATATTAAAATTAAAAATATTTTTAAAATATTAAAAATAGAAACCTTAAATATATTCTAAATAAATTCCAAGTAAATCTTAACCAAATATAAATATAGTCCTAAAAAAATTATAATAAATTCTAACAATCTTAAATAATTAGAACAAAATTCTAAACAAATCATAATCAAATCCTAATCAAATCCTAAAGATTCTATAACCAATTCCTAAAGGATCTCAAACCAAATCCTAAAGAATTCTTGATCAAATTCTAAAACATCTCTAACTAAATCTTAAACAAATCCTAAACTACCATAAGAAAATCTTAAATAAATCTTAATCAATTACTATAGGTATTTAAAAAATTTAATAAATATTAATTAAAAATTTAATCTTAAATAAAATTTTACTTGGATTTCAATCAACAAGCAATTAACAAGGAAATAAAATTTGAAAAGAATCTAACATATCAATTAAAAGAAAAGCTTCCAAAACCTCTAAGATGTTGACTGCCATGTTTTTTCAAGTTGAATATTGATCTTCCAATAGTGTTGTCTCCTTGTTGAATCATTAAATTACTTCAAGACTTTTTTGGTATGTAAGATTCTAAGTCTAAATTCCTTTCATCAATTTTTACTTCAATTAAATTAGCAGACATTGCAATATCACAAAAACTCTTACTAGCCTTAAATTTCAATTATCTAAGACCATATCTCAAAAAAACTCTTGTAACCTTTAATTTAACCACTTGATTGATTTTAAAATTCTCAAGAATATTTAAAATAAGAAAAATAACAAACTAATAAATTTTTACTTATAAATATGCTATAAAACTCACAAAATCTTTAAATTTATAAACTAATTTTTATTTTTCAAAATCTAAACCCGCTAAGTACAATTTCATACTTCAAACAAATCTCAAATCCTCAATATGCCTTCAAATCACATGAAATCAACTTTTAAAAATCCTCTCATAAGTCTTCTCCCAAATCTTATTCTCTGATCAACCAAAGAATCCCAAAGTCATTGTAGGTACACAATTGAGTGCCTTGGGATTTAATTTCAACCTTGGTTCACAACCTGTCTTTTGTGGATACCAATTCTTCATATTTTGAGGTAATTTTTGCTAAAATCTATTCTTATTCCTCTCCTAAATAGGCATATATTAATTACTTATCTCATTTATTTTAATTTCGCTTATTTATGCCTCTATAAAGTAAATAGAAGTCTCTTGTACAAAAAGGTACCATTAAGATTAAAGTTTTTACTACCTTCTTATAATTTATCCTTGTTTTTTTTACTATATCTTTTTATTAGGCTCTTCTATAATAACATCCATATTTTAATTTTTCACTATATACTTGTATTATCACATGAAAATATATGAGATATCATTACTTCTAATATTAAAAATAATTAGTCGACAATTCAAGGCATAGTACAATGAGCAACATATCATTATTAATACAATTACTAGACAATTATCAACTACTGCAAAATAACAGATTAAATGGTCAAAGACATTTGTATATGGCTACTACATCATTCCTTCATGCAATATTATCTTCAAATGTATGTCATAGCAATTATTTAATATCTTGGATTTACAAACTACCCATGTAATTGTAACAAATGGCAACTATTTGGAATCTCATGTGTGCATGCAATTAACATTGTGCTATTTATGCAAAAAATCAATTGTCAATTATATTACTTACTTTAATATTGTTCAAGCTTAATAAGCAATTTATGCGATAGCCATCATCATGATACCATATCTAGAGTATTAGACAAAACTAAGCAATAATAAAATTGATGTTGCTCTAATATTACTATCTTTAATACAATGTCTATTTGGCCACCAAAAGAAGAATTGCATCTATATAGAAGATATGAGAATAACCAAAAGAGTATTTCGATGTAGTTGATGCAAGAACATTAGGCATAATTGTTTAACTTACAAAGAGCCAATTTAGTTCTGTCATTGAAGCACCTTTTAGTATAATATTTAAAGATATAATTTTTGAGTGAGAGAGTCACTATTGAGTATGCTTGTAACCATGTAAAATCCAATTATGTTGTTTAATAGTTTTGAATATAAATTTTATCAACCTCAATTTTTATTTAGATGAATTTAAGTAAGAACAATTTTGCCCAAATTGTCTATTATGACCAAACTTACTTAATAAAAATCTCTCAACACTATTGATAAAATTTGGATATTAAATTATTATATTATATTCTATATTAAATCTTTAGCCATTAAAATAATTAATATAAGATTTATTTATTTATATTATAATTCATAATTTAAAATGTATTCAAATTAGCTTTATTATATGTCTCATTTACTAGTTTTATCCAATAATAGAAAATAAGACAAGCTCTTTAGATTGTGATTTTATTAATAAGGCCTGGTTTTTGAAACATGTACTAGAATTTTGACTTTGTTTTTAATTTTCTTTAATATCTATACATTTGCAATTCAAGAATGCTTGATATAATTATAAATATGCTTAACTTTACTCTTTTAGTATTATTATTATTATTGTTATTTTATTACTCCAAAATAATGAAGTTATATGTTAAAATAGTATGATTTTACTATGTAAAGTTTTTATAAAAGAAATTAATAAAGCTTTTTATATTTTGAATTTTAACTATTTTTTTCTAAAGATTCTAAACAATATATTAGAACATAAATCAATCACTTTGGCATTTAATAGGCTTTTATTTTATAGCCAATAAATATATTCCTATTAAGTATATTTAGTCTATAAATAACTAGTTTAAATTCAAAAAATTATACATTACTATTTTAGCTATTATTATTAAAAAGAACATATCAAAAATACAAAATAATAATAATAATAATAATAATAATAATAATAATAATAATAATAATAATAATAATAATAATAATATCAAATGCTAAAGCTTAGGTTTTGATCAATTCTTAGCTTAAAGTTTGAAAATATTTTTAATAATGAAATATCATCAAATATATATATTTTGGTATATATATATATATATATATATATATATATATATTACTAAATTTTAAAATTTATAACAATAAGTATCTGGTTTGGTAATTTTTATTTTCCATACAAATTTTTAAGCTTTTTATTAAAACCAATTTTTTATTTTCAAGAAATAAGCATGTTTAATATTAGGTAAAATAAATAATTAATATATAAATCTATAGAAATGAAATAAAAAATAATAAGATCTTAAAAAGTTACTAGGTATTTAGTTTAATTTTTAATTTTTTAACAATTACTTCTTTTTTAAGATTAAAAACGTTTTTATTTTTTTTCTATAACTATAGTTATCAAAGAATTTAGTTACCTTAAAATAACATGACTGGTTCAAAATTTTGAATTTAAAGTTACCTATAAAAAAATTGTAATGAGTAAATTTTTTGAAAGTTAGAAGTATAATTTTGAAAATCATTTTTTAGACAAAAGACTATACTATTCTTATTGTTCTTATACTTTTTACTTTAAATAAACATATAATATATATATATATATATATATATATATATATATATTTTAAATTAAAATTTATGCATCAATATGACAATAAGCAATGATACAGAACCTATACTTGTAACAAATAATAATGTAAATTAGTGTAGGAAAATCCACTATCTATTTTTGAAATTAACACATCATCATTAAAAAGCATACAAATACAAAAAACATCCCTACAATTTTTTTTAAGAAATCCCATAAGAAATATAAAAGTTGTTCTTTTAGTACAAATTAATTTTGATAGTTATTTAATTACTCATCCAAGTATGTACTAATCTATACAAAATATTATCATGAGCATATACAATATAAACAAGCTTGATGTAGAAATTTAGATGTATTTACAGTAATTTATAATCTTTGATGATAACTCTGTAGCTTTACTAGGTGCATCACATTTTATTTATTTATTTATTTATTTTCATTTCAAATATGCATTTCAAATATTTAGATGCACCCTTGAACTAATTGGTATCAGAAACAAATGGCGACTTAAATCATCTATTCAAATAATACCACTTCTCTTTCTCTGAAATGCATTCATACTAACTTCGCCGTTGCCGAGTTGAGTCATCTTTTGCTGCTGAAAATATAAGCTTGAAAGTCACAAGAAATTTAATTGGTCTTGTTCGGTCTGGACTATTCGCATGTAGTTCGACAACATTGCATTGAGACTGGACGGTGTCCAAAGTGGCCGCTCTCATTTGATAATGAGATCGATCAATCTGTCTGATGGTTTCTACCACAAGTCGTGTGTGGGAGCCATTATCGCCTGTACCACGAGCAAGGTTTTGAATGCATGAACTAGACGCATTAGATGTGAAACAATGAAATTGCTGGAACAAGAACAAATTTGTTTGCAGACGAGCCTGAACATAGCCAAGGACAAATTTTATGATAAGAGTGATGGTATTCCAGCCAAAACCAACTTCACAAAACCTGCTAAAAAATTTTCTGCAAGCCCATCCGTGCAACAAAAAGTATGAGATTTGTAGAAGAACACAAGCTGCAGGAAGACATGGCCAATGTGGGTGCATGCGTGAGCTACATCGACCAGCAGATCGAGCACGTCAATGCAGCGTTTCCCGATTCGGACAAAAAAAATTGTGTGCTCGACTTGGGATGCCCATGTCGACCTTGTCGCTGAATGAGTTGCACAACTTGAAGCTCATCCACGTCAAGCTGATGCAGTTCTGGGAGGACTTGAGTCGGAAGCAATGACTGAGCAGATCCAATTCTCAATGCAATTACCTTGTGAAGCTGAATTCAATCCAATTCTTTGGGTTCGTTACAGTAAAAAAAAAAAACAAAAACAAAAACAAAAACAAACAAAAAAAAACAAAAAAACAAAAAAACAAAAAAAACAAAAAAAACAAACTGTAGAAAGTTTATAGCTTACCAAGTTGAAGGGCAGATTTGTAATTATCACAAAAGGGAGGGGTAGTTTTGATATTATCAAGAATATAGAAATATTGTTGATATTTTGGCGAATTTCAGGGGTATTTACAATATTTTTCCCGATAATAATTGAGTTTTCTTGACAAAGTTTACCACATTAGTATTACGTAGTGTGAATTTATTGTGTCCGTTGTATGTGAAATGCGAGTCAGTTCATTTCTAATACAAAATATTTACATTACTATGAGCATGCTAACACCATAATCGAACTCTAAGGTGTGTGCCGATTGCCAAGAAAGTCACTCAGATCAAAAGAACGACCAAAGGAGAACAGGTGGTCAACAAGTACTAGCTGAGTGGGACTTCCTTTCTTCATGCCTGACACATTGAACCAGTGTTACACACAGACAACGTACAAAAACATATTGGCCTTTCAGGAAATAATATGTTACATGTGTGCTAGTACCAACAATCCCCAAAAGTACAGGTCAAACTGGGCGTGTGAAAATATTGCAGTTATACCATGGTGACAATCACCCAAAAAATTGTTTCGTCAACAGTAAAATAAGGCCGTGGATTTTGCTATCCAAAACATTAAATTCGAAAAAAGGAAAAATGTAGGTTATGGGGGTTTCAGGTTCCGGAGACATATAGCTGCATAAAAACACTAAGTGGACTCATTAATCGTCTGCATTTCGGGATTTCTTACTGCCATACTGTCGTGGACCATTGCTCTTTTCTTGCCGAGCTTTCTCACGGTAGCGATCCTTTGCCTCTTCACGCCTCCTCTTTTTGGACACCTCTTCTTGGGCAGATTGCTTGAGTAAGTATGCCTTCCGTTTCTTATCCTGCTCCACCTTTCGCTTCTTTGCCTGCCCAAACAATCAACACAAAAATGTATCAGAAAAAATACAATTAAACAAGTGACAATCAAATGATCAAAATGTAAAAGTAAATGGTAGACTATACAAATCGTAAGGGAAAGCAGAGCGCAAATGGAAAGTGATTATGTATTGAGAGGAAAGCAAATACTCACTAAAAAAAACAAGACGATGAGTTAATACCTTTTCATTGCGTATTAAGCTGAGTTGATTGACCAGCGTAACCACGTGGCGCTCATGTGGTTCCATCAGAACAGCCCTCTTCGTCTCAAGCAGTGGATTCTTCCGCTTTTTCTGATCCTTAGGCTTGCTTTTAAATGGCAAAGCCTCTTGCAACGATTTTGGTACTTTGAGTGCGTTGAAATGTCGAGGTTTTCTCTCGATTTTCTGCAGCACCAATACAACCACCATGAGAGTAGGTGACGAAAGTTAATTAATGGTGCCATTTGATTCAACTACCTTCAGCACTTGACAACTGACTCAGACAGATCCTAATCAATTTGTGAGCCAGAAGGAATACCTTGTAAAGAGAGTCTTGGTTGACCGGAACTGGCAGATTCTTTTCCCTTCGAAGCTCCCCAACTGTCTTCATACCCTTCCATTGAGCATCCTTTGCTTGGAGCAAGGTAGTAACCGGATTGAAAAATTTGGGAATGTCAACTTTAGTCCAAGCACGAAGGAACACAATATCACTCATTAAAATTTTGTCTTCAAACGTACACCTGACGCTGCCCTCTCTCCACTCTTTCCGTTCTTTCCCTTGCCCTGCTTTCACGGCCTGCACCATCTCGAAATGATGCAGCAAATTAGTATGTATCGTTCAATCAGCTTTCAAGACGATGTTAAATTGACTTGATTGACTTAGACTTGGGTGACTCGCGGTTAAGTTCATCTTTGTATTGAGTAATTTTGGTCCTCAAAGAACAAAGATTACTTAAGCATCAAACGGTACTCTGCATATCTAAAGTCACTAATATTATAAGGAACTATGCACATTGATTAAAGAAACTGTGTCCATGAAACAAATAATGGACAACACAGAGCACCTCAGTCCGGGTTCTAAAAGGGATAAACCATGACTGTTGTAAGTTTGAGTGCTAACCTCCAGCTGAATAGAACAAGGAATATCCACATTTCGATGGGAGTGCAAAAATCCAAACAAGTTCTTAGAAAGTTAAGTGATGAAAAGAAGGTTTAGAGTTCTGACAGGGAATGTCACGTGTGTTTCTTACCTTCTTGATCTGACCACGAATGCCACTAACTGTGCGAACTGCAGCACCTTCAAAACGCGCGACTTCTAATGCAGATGTGAACATATCCTTCACGAAGGCCGTCTTCTTAAAGATCTTGTACGGGTAGCCTACAAGCTTCAATTTCTTAACTACTGAGGCAGATTGATCTTGGTCCAGAACAACACCAGTTGCACTGATCCTAAATGATGACTGTAGAATACCAGTAGGAAAATGGCATCTAGTCAGTACACTCACGACGATATCTGGACAAAATACTAGAAGCCTCTCCTTAGAATGCTAGATAGTAGAAGCTTCAGAAGAACTGAGAAACACGATGAAAAAACTAAATTAAGTTGTCATCGAACCTGTGCGTTGTTCAAATGTTGGAAGGCAATAAGACCAGAGTTTGGAGGCGCTATGGGACCCCAAAAACTGGCTAAACAATGCATATGCTCGGGCGTGTATTTTAGCATTCGATGGCGTCCATTTCTATCCTCTATTGAATATACAGGCAGCGTTTGGAACCTTCGCCATCCAACAGAGACAACAAGTGGATCCCGATTCTTGAGAACCTTCCGATGCCATCGATGTCGTTTTATCCTTACCTGCGATATAATTATTTATGCATGAAAAAATCGTGCATCTTATAATACAATTGCGGATGCTGTATCAGTATCGTAAATCTACATTACACACTTCAACGAACAGGAATGATGCATAGTAAAGATAATATCGTGGTGATACCTGCATATAGCCGACAGCTTCCTCCCCACGACTTAATCCTCCAACCAGCAATGGAATAGTTGGATCAAAGTACTGGACCATTTCACAGGGCATGCCGTGAAGCTCAAGACGCAAATAGGTACCCCCTCGGTATCCTTCCATCTCTATCCTGGTTATTTCATCCACCTCTGCAAGTTCGGCTAGATTCTTCTGTTTCCGTAGGGCAATCTCGTCCTTAATCTGCGGATTTTGATACAACATGAAGATTAGTTTAAGAAACAAAGAAACAGGACTTCGTTGTTTGAATTACGCCTTGACCTATTATCAATTAGTGGAGAACATGGTAGTTACACTTGCAAATAAAGTTGCAATCCAAGCTCTAACCCAACAACGCAGGCTCGTAGGAAAAAATAATACGTTTAAATGAGAGATACATGAAAGTCAGTAAACCTGATCAAAGTAGTCCTTCGAGCCAGATTCATTTCCAGACCCTCCATACTTCTTACGGCTCTCGTTTTCTATTGGTTCTTCAGCCACATCTTCCGACCCCTCATTATACTGTGCATCAAATCTGGCTCGAAGTGCAAGCTTCTTGAGACGCCTATCCTCTTCTTCTGCAGAAAGCCCACCAGGCTTTGCGTCTTCCTCAGCATCTCCCTCAGGATTGGCTGCAACATGTTGTTCTCCTGTTTCCAAGTCCTCGAAATCTCCAAATACTTCATCGTCCCCAAACATCTCAGTATCGTCATCAGCGCTTTCCCTTGCCTTACCCCTATTAGCCGCTTTATTCCAATCTCCAGTGACAAAACGGTCACGTATTGATTCAATAACTTCAGGATTACGCCAATCTTGGAAGGAGTTTGGATCCTTATCTAGCCTACTGCAATCCTCTGCGTCAGCATCATCTAGGTTTGTGGCTCCATTACTGGAACTCTGCAAGCAGATAACAAGCAAAAAAAGAAAGATTACTATCCAAGTTACCAATTGAAATCCACATAAATCAGTCACTCGGCATTTCATTAATACAGAAAACAGGCTCAAACTGAAACGAACCTGATGCCGCTCGTTTCTCAACCTAAAAAGTTCCTCGTCCTCACTATCAGAGTCCTGGTTCTGTAAAGAGCTTCCTTGTAAAGTCTCTTGCTGACCATACACCAAGCGCATCAAATCTATTTTCTTCTCCACATTAGCGAGGGCTCGTGCAAACAACCCCTCCTTCCACCGAGATGCATCTCCAAGATGACCCTCTGAAAGATGTGGTATTCACGATCATAAGGTTATCCATGGAAAACGATACCAGTAAATTGGGTTTCGCAAATAATACACGATGTAGACTTATGGCCCGCATTGTGGGCCGAAAAGAATACCAAAACTGGACGCCTAACCTCCTAACATCAGTTATTACCAAGATATATTCTCAGCCCGAAAGATGCCATCAACTTTAATCCAGATCTGGAAATCATAAAAATAGTATCTGTTAAGTAAGACATTCAGACACCACGCTTTCATGTAGTAATTCAATTTAGGGGATTTAACAATACCTGTCACTAAACCATCATCTTCTGACAGACCATACTGTCCTTCCGCTGTTTTTTCGAGTTCATCCCTTGTGGGCCCATTCATGTCAGAGTCGTTCTGACTCGATTTCCTAGGTTTTCGCTCGCCCTCTTCTTGATCTTCGGATTCATCTTCATCGTCATCCTCATCTTCCCCATCATCTTCTTCAGATCCATCTTCATCTTCGTCTTCTTCAGAATCATTATGGTCAAAATCCCCGTCACCGTCTTGTTTCATCTGCTGGAAATAAAGGGAAACTGGTTTAATAACTATTCCCATCGCAAAGAAAGATCCTTATCCACTTAGAGGTATCCCGTGATTGACACAAAGATAAAAATGTGAACTTTTATCATGAGAACTCTACAATCTGATGCTATAAATATTGCATGGAATATGTCTGAAAACATTTCGAAGACAAACAGGCATACCTTCTTTGGCACGTCAAGATCCTCAGATTCATCGCTTGAGTCATCAAATACAACATTCTCTTCATTGTCTATCCTCGTAGTTCCAGTTTCGATCTCTTCGTCGTCCTCAAAAACAGCTTTACGTCTTATCCTGCCATTTTTGAACTCCTTTACTTCAGACGGTTTAACGCGTTCAGGAACTGCCTTTGAAAACTTTTTCTCTGAAGTAGACTTTATAGGATCATCTTCTTCCTCGTCATCATCTTCGACGTCGCTATCTGAACCATCACTTTCCTTAGTAATCTTTCCATTAGTTGAAGGAAGGATACGTTTCCGACTCAATACATCTTCTTCAACCCCTTCATCATCATCATCGTCCTCGTCCTCGTCCTCGTCACCTTCCTCCTCTTCATCATCCTCATTTTCCTCATCCTCATTATCCTCATCGTCCTCATCTTCGACTTCATCCACACCACTTTCTTCCTTACCTTTAGAATCAGTAGCCTCTAGCTTCATAGGGCCACTGCCACGGAAGAGCTGGATAAAGCTCTTCTCCAATTTCTCATCTATGGAATACTTAGTATTTTGAAGTGTCTTCACCATAGTCACGCCGACATCATCGTTCTCAACTCCTGATTCTAAATCTCTCTGTTCAGCCTCATTTTGCTCAGTTTTTGAATACTGCACCTGATGGTCATTGATATCCACATAAGTAGCATCTTTATCATAAAGCACCTCCCCAACATTCGACCAAGGTGAATATAGAAGTTTTTCTTTCTCTCTTAGCCCCTTCTTCTTTGTAGCCGAAGGAAGAGGACAGGGATCCTCAAGTGCCGATACTCCAGCTAACTTGCAGTCACCAACCCCTGCTATGTGCACCTGCAGTCCAGAATACAAAAAACAACGCTAAAATTGATTACTTATAATTGACTTAAAATAATCGAAACTTTACGGGCAAATGCAAGAGGATGGGTCCACATAGAACTGTAAAAAGCTTGCGTAAATAGTCATCCTATGCTTGTAGTAATTAAGCTTAGGAGAGCTTTCTTCACTTCCCACACTAGAGAGAAAGCAAGCTGATCACGAACCTTCATTCCTAACTTGAGATTGCTACCACGCAGGTAACCAAAAAGTGCTACATTGCGATCACATTTGGGGTCTTCTTGAACTCTTTCGGGAGGTGTCAAATCTTCAAAACGATCTGCTAAGATATAGGGATGCACTGCCCGCCATGAAAGAGGCCGAAACTTTGCAATTGAGATAAATCTAGCCAAATTGTGGACCTCTCGCTTTGGATATCTGCACGTTTAAAGAATACAATGAGTTATCACACGCAATTAAGTCTGGAGCCTCTACAACAAATCTCGAAAGAATTTTAGCACAACATCCAGGCCACAGCTGAAGCATGTAGGCAATACTTACTTTCCATAGACAAGTCCAGAGAGATAAAATAATTTGGCACCGTCATAGATTTCTGTCCAAAAACGATTCTTCAGTTTTTTCTTGGTTTTCCTCAAACGCTTCGCGTCTTTAAACTTGTCTAAGTGCGTTAGCACTCCCATGACTTTTGGAAAACCATGAACTTGCAGAATGTTGAGAAACTCAAATGTTTCCTGCACAGTCAGTACTTCAAATCAGATCCCACTTTCACCCACATTTAAAAGTTGAAATACCAAGAACACCATCTCTTAGATCACAACCAAATCTACATAAAATTCAAAAGTTTAACAGATGATAGTGAATTGGATTTATGTAGTTGTGAGGAAAAACACACCATCTCAAAGCCATAGCTCCCGTCTGTAAGGAGAAGCACTAGGTCCGCAAACTTGGCAGCATCGATCATAGCATTAATATCATTTGCACACTCCACAAACTGAAGCCTCCTCTGCTTACCTGTAGTCATTAAGAAGTGATATTAGTGTAAATTGACACGTTTCAGCTTGAAATACATGTGGTGATGATATTAAAACGAAATCATAAGAAACAGTAACCCTGTCAGAATTTTCATACGATATATGCAGTCTCATAACCTTCACGTATCATAATCCCACAATGACCACCCTGCTCTCAAATAAGTAGTGCATAGGTAAACAAAAAGACTGATCTCTTTGAAAGGGCCTTCCAGTTGCATCCCTGAATATCCGAAAATGTTTCAAACAACCCTCTTCAGATGTCCGACCAACATAGCTCCTCCGAGGTACGAGAAATTAAGTACCGTTTTTCAACTGTAACAGTGTTAAGAGATGTATTACCTGATACAACAGTAATTGGACCTCGCACTTCAGAAAGATTGTGCTTTGTATAATGTTTCACCAAGGATTGAATCAAAAGAGTCTTTCCAACCTACATTAAGAACCAAACACATCCTTAGAAGTACGGAAAGCAACTCCACTACAAACCAGACAGTGGCCTCCTCATGCACTTCCAAAAAAAGCAGCGGAAGTACACAAAACTAACTCGAGATTCTAGATGGTTCAGAATATAAACCCGTCGTACCTGCGGTGGTCCATGGACAACAACTACGTACGGTGGGGGTTCACCAGTGGCTCGATCTATTATAGGTACATGAAGTCGTCGCTGGTCTTTCTCTGCTGTGCGGGCCTGTAAACGATGAGCCTTCTTGGCTGAATTGAAGGTAAATGCCTAACCACAACCACAGAAAATCAGTATCAACCAGAATCCAGTCTACCAAGGCATGGAACTTACGCCATACATGATCTAACACTGCTATCCATCTTCTTAAGATTACAAAGCTAACCTTGGGTTGCCGTTAGGGCTTCCCAATTTAAGGTCTACGAGAAATCGAAGCAAGCACACGTTCAGGTTGTTATGTGTAGAATAAAGTTTGCCGATAGTAAAGTCATACTTAGAGGACGTCATAGTTTTAATTAAAAAGAAACAATCCCTCCAAAATCATCATAATCGTCTACAGGAAGTTTCACAAATCGTAGGAGACGCTATATTTCTCCACTAAACTGTACCAATCAGGGTCCGGCGCGGCGCGATTTGTAGTTAGTGGAGCGCCTTCAAATGCACGCATTTGATGCGAGGGACACTAAGTTAAGTCGCTCACTGAGACATCAGTGCATACAGAGCAACTGTCTATGAACATGAAAGAGATGAATTCGAAGGAACGGACTGCTAAATCGCGATTTGGAATAGTCTACAATACAAATCCTTCCAATACCGAAAATGGACTGTGCAGAGTCTCGACAATGCGTCAGATTACTGTCATTTCCAAAACCTTGGTGACTGGTGCGCGCAACTTAGTGCACAATTCCAAGAATTCAAGTGACGGAGCCCACAGTGAACCGCATCGATGACAGCTACAAAACTATACACTCATGAGAATCGCATTATTGCGTGAAGCAGAAAAATCGCAAACTGACCTTAGGGTTCCTTTCCTTTCCACCATCCACACCACGTTTCTTTTTGTCAATTTGCTTCTTCTTCTCCTTGGCAGGTCCTGCTTGCGGCTGACGGTGCTGCTTCTGCTTGCCCTGGGAGCTTTTCCCCGCTAAGCCCAACGCAGATACCATCGTGTTTGACGATCTCACGCCACCGCCGTGAATTCAATCCAAACACACATCACAAACCTGAACCTCCGTTCAAAACTACAGTCCAAATTTGAATAGGAGCAGCACCCTAGGGACACCTGCGGCTTTGATACACTAGAACATTCTAAAGATATCCCAAGCACATGAACCCGAATGCAACTGGGGTTTAAGGGTCAAAGGCACTACAAACCCTAAACCCTAGCTGGGTGCACTAGGAGAATAATACTGCTCCAAGGTTGGTCTTCTACTATTGACCATTAGAAAATGCCCTAAATTCGAAAGTAAATTTGTAGACCTAAAACTCTAGTAAATCTATCTCTGGAAAAGTTCCGTCAGAGCTATCCATAACCCAGAAAGGGGGCGTGTTCTTGGCTTGTTGATAACCGAGTATTGTTGTAGAGATTCGGCAAGGTCGCACATTGGTATCTTACGCCAGCCTACATAATGTCTCTGTGGTCCCCTGGTACAGCACTGTGTGTCATTTGTGGAAGGGGAAGAAGCTTTTAGAGTATATCCGTGGATGTTTCTGCCAATTTACAATTCTGATATACTTCTCCGATTCAGGGTGTCGTAGCTTTCTTACGCAATCTGCATTGCTGCTCTGGTTGCTTTAAAATATCCTGCCTTTTTCATACTGAAGATTTGGACTGTGACTGGTGAATGATACGATGGTCTGTTCGGAGAGCTAGGTTTTGAGAGATTTTAAGCAAGACGATCAGGGCTGAGAGAATATGTAGTGTAATTTGTATTTGATGGATTGCTTTTGCTTGCTATCTCCAGGTCTGTGATTTACGACTAGTGTGTAGTCATCTGGCTGTGTGATTTTAGTCCTTGAGCACCATCTCAATGGAGCTTTCTAAACTCGCAAGCCGTTCCAGGCACTGTGGCTTGGTTGCCCACCGTCGATCATCTACTCCGGCAGACTGCCGTTCCCACATTACCAGTCTATCCCTCACTGATACTACCAAACCCAGAAGTTTGATGTCAACTCTTCGTCACGATGTTTCTTCAAAAGAAGGTCGGGTACGGTTTGGGCGGGGTGTGGAAGTGCAGCGACTTGTCAAATGCGAGAGTTTGCAGGAGGGACAAGTAGGGAGTGTCGAAGAGAAAACAGCTTTTGCGGGTAGATTAGAAAATGGTGCAGAAGACTCTAGACAATCCGGAGGTCATGACGATGGGCTTGCGAGGGCAAAGCTTGCTGTCTTCGTTTCTGGTGGGGGCTCGAACTTCCGAGCTATTCATGCTGGATGCAAGGAAAACGCAATATTTGGCGACGTTGCCTACGTCGTTTCAGATAAGCCTGGTATTTCACTTTCTCTGTTGTTGATGTTCCACGAATTGTAATCAGATGTTGCACAGTCTTTCTTTTTCCTCTTCTTATTCTTCGGTTTAAATTTGTGAGCCCTTTTCTTGGTTGACACCTTTTATTGTAGTAGTTTCTTGCATGTATTGAAATGATTTTTTCACCGTCACGTTATGCAATGTATGCTTTAGAAGCAAGGGATTGTTGACGGGTTTGGTCTGGTTTGATTTGTGTATTCAGGTTGCAAGGGCTGTGAATATGCCATCGAAAACAACATTCCCGTTTTAGCGTATCCAAAAGGCAAGCATGCGCCTGAGGGAATTTCTCCTACTGAGCTTGTAGAGCAACTGAGGTGAATATAAAGAATTGTCTTTTATCTCCTTTAACATGTTGTGCTTCATTAGGCTGAAAAGTATTCTGCCCCGGTGAGGTGAATAAGCTTGGTTTCATCTATTGCTCTATATCCTATTTGGTAGTCATTATTGAGAGCTATCGTCATCTTTAGTCTTCAAATTGTGTAGGATGCTGTTATGTGAACTGGTCAGTCTAGCCGGTTGATCCTTCACATGGGCCTCTAACTCTATGCAACGTATTTCAATGCGCAATCTTACTTAGTATCATAGCTATGAACTGATACATCAGAGTTATTGTTGACAATGCAATACTAAAATGAGTTGTAACACAGGGGTGCAGGTGTGGAATACATCCTGCTAGCAGGGTACTTGAGATTACTTCCTTCTGAGCTAGTTCACGCGTATCCTCGCGCAATCTTAAATATACACCCTGCTTTGCTTCCGTCGTTTGGTGGGAAGGGGTATTTTGGAATGAAAGTTCACGAAGCTGTCATCCGTTCAGGTGCCCGGTAAGTGGTTGAAATTGAAAGTCTCTTGTATTAGATATGTGTAAAGATTGCTCATCAGATTCAATACTGTACGACTTACTCACTTTATTCTCCCTGCAAGGCGACTGTTGAACAATTCCTTGAGGGTGCGAGGGATAATGAATGACGCCTTGTGATAGTCTTCCATGGCATTGATCTGCATGTGCAGCGATGTTTGTATCAACAACTTGTCTTAGGGCCTCCGCGAAAAAATATTTCTGAACTTAGTGGACTAGCATCTACCCTAAATGGAATTTGAAAATTGGCGTTGCATTTGGTTATGCTTGTTGCTGAATACTGTACATAGATTCCTCCAGTAAATTTGACTTGGTTTGTGGATGTTTGTTTTCCCGGATTTGTATCTTTATTATTTCACACATGGCTGTTATCCTACGCTTCTGGGAGTAAAATTGCTGTCATGTCTCTGGCACGTGTGGCAGAGATGTTGGATATCACAGTTTGTCGGATTATTAAAGACGACAAAAGAATATTTTCTTAGTTCACATTTCAGGACATGAGCAGTAACCGTTGAGAAGTGAGCTTGGTTTTCTGTGACGCTGATGTAACCATCGCAGTTTTTCTGATTATAAACGACGACTGCAATTTATTTCCAGAGCCCCACTAATGGACACGGGTAGCAGGTTATGAGTCGTAGATTGACACTTGTATGTGTGGACTCTGATGCTGAACATCACAGCCTGTCTGACCGTGGACGATGCTGATAATTTCAAGTCTGATCTCACTCTCCAGTTACACAATGATTCTTGAACTCGGTCAAAATAGCCTGAGATATTTTCTTATCTCGTATGTTGTGGACAAAAGTGGCATTCTTTCAGATAGACGTATAGTTTCTATCGAATCAATATTTAACGTGTATTTGGTGCATGTCTTGCAGATTCACCGGAGCCACAGTACACTTTGTAGACGAGAAGTACGATACTGGTCCCATTCTGGCCCAAAGAGTCGTACCTGTGCGAGCTGATGATACCCCTGCTGAGCTAGCTTCTAGGGTTCTAAAAGAGGTGCAGTTTTATTGTCTTAATTCTGTTGCACGTGTAATTCATTTTATTTTTGCAATCTCTCTTCCTATGCTTCCAGCTTTCATATATCGAGTTCACTTTAAACTGGATTGTTCCCTTCATTTGTCTAAGGGTTTACGGTGATATAGATCTTGTACTATGTCGTGTTTTTCCTCACACAAGTGCACATGTGATGCAGGAGCATCAATTGTATTCGTTTGCAGTTTCCGCGCTCTGTGAGGATCGCATCTTCTGGCGCGAGGATGGTGTGCCAATCATTCGCAAGTCATGGGACGAGGCAGAGTATGTATGATGATGTTCTCCAATCATCTAGTGAAGGTTCTTGGAGTTCATTGGTGTACATCATGGTCTCAAACGGGAATGTATTTTGTGTCCAATCCTTGTTGCCTGGTTTTGGCATTGTGGATTGGCAATCAAAGAATAATCACCTGTACTGAAGGGGCTGCATTTCACACTTCATGTGCAGTGCTCCCCAAGTGGGTATAGCATTCGTCTTGCAAAAGTGTGCTGATACAACGTGAAAGGTTGTTGAAACACTGAGACAGAGGATTCGTTCACTAGAAAGTTAGGAATGTTGCGTGGCCCTTGTGTTGCCTTTTGGGTACACTTATTACAGCTGTGGATGGTGCTCATTTCTTTTTTTTGAGTAGAACGGAGAGGTTGAGCACCTTCTCTAAACTGTGTCGCCTTAGAGTGGCGAGAATAATGTTTCAGCGTGGAACTTTCCCTCTGCTCTTGGGCTGCCAGCTTGCTTTCAAGGGACGTAACATCAGTCTGCCAGACCACAGGAGGTGAAAAATCCTTCGTTCGAGAGTAACAAAGAAGTTCTGCATTTTTGTTGAAATGTCGCACCGTTCGCACTTGCTCTGAGTGGTTTACTTGTTTATTCAATTTTGATCATGATGTAGCATCTTAAGTAGTTTGGCCGTGGGTGTCAAAGATTTTTGCTTTTTCATGAAAAACTTATGAGATGTTTGTGGCGCACACGAAGGTCACAATCACCTGTAAACCTTTCAGAATGCAAAATTCTCTCGGAATCGTCTGCACTAACTTGATCGTAATTAGTATTCAGTCATTGAAGTACACTTGTCTCGTTTTTACATGTCATGTACATCATATCACTAATGTACCGTAAACCTTGACATGAGGTCCATAATTTACATATGACATCACTGATGCTATTTCAAAGTTTAAGGGTTATTCCAACACATCAGATCAATACCATTTGATTCCATATTTTTAAATGCCATGTATAGGTACAAGGGCCGTAGCGGAACAGGTACCCAGCTGGTACTTGGTACTGCATGAACAGAAAATCCAAACCGCTCTCTGTACCAAAAATCTTTTCTTTCTACTTGTTCACAAATGACTTTGGATGATTCTTTTTTAAAAAATAATTTTGCACCCCTACTATCAACATTTAGGGACTCCAAACATATGATTGCCTGTCAATACGCTGCTCACAAAATTTAAGGCAGCTCCAATACATCTACGTAGACAAGCATGGATGATGGACGGACGAAGTGCGTAATCAAGATACGAGTATAGCTACTTAATGTGTATAGTAGTCATAGGTAGAAACTAAGTTGTGTAATTGTTGAATATTACACAATCTTTTGTATAAGTGTAAATACGCATGCGTTACCTGTTGTACAATTATTTTCTAAACTTTTCACTTTAAATCCAAATATTAAAAATTGACTTCAAGATACATAATTATGTTATACTTATCACATCGAGTACAAAATCATTGCAAAATGAATTAATCTGTGCTAAAGATATGTTCAAGGGTTGCACAAAAGTCACACTCTTACTTAGTACTACATGATTATAATGTTCAAATATATTGTTGTATGATTATCTTTAAGTATGAAGGAACGTGTATGTTGAGAGTATAGTGAACAAGGTGTTGCGTCGGCGTCATTGTGGTCAGATTACAACACTCAAATGTGACAACTTGCTTTCACATTCACCATCTCATTGCTATTGACCTTCCATCAGTGGCAAAGATCTCCACTTTAATTATCAATTTGAATTGAAACATCTCTTTTTAGAAGAAAATTTAATTGATTGCAATTTGGGAGAATGATTCATGTTATACATCTTGTTAGTTGACATTCTTGGCGCTCATCAGGAGATTTTTTACCATCAGAATGAAGTGTTTGACTTAAATTTTGTGACGTGCTGAAGTAACCAGGATTTGATCTATTCCAATTTCAGAATGTATTGTTTAAACCTATGTCACCTTCAGGTAGAAAGTGGAGTCCTGTGTTACATACATAATGATAACAAAGGTAGACTATTCGATTGGAGACTCGATGAGAGTGTTTCTGGCGTCAGAGAAAATGCGATAACAATATCACAAGGTTGACGATAGCTGTCGGATACAGCCAAAAAGAGAGTACCAGAAATCATGAAATGAAAACGAAGAGTGACAAAGGGAGCAGATTCACTGAAGTCAAGTGCAATTGGGCAACTACTTGTCTTGTATACAGGGGAGGCCAGCGAATAAAGTAGCCTTATGATATTACAATGGCGAGAATATGTCAACCACCACATCTCCGTCTAGTGGTTACTGCAGGAGGAAAGATTCTGAAGTCTCGACGAGTTGATAATCTACAGCACAGATCGGGGAATGATGACATGAGCGATGGTATTGTGCCACGGGTCAGCCAAGTGAGTCTTCAGGTTCTCCAAAGGGCCGGTGCCAGGGTAGGCAATGGCTTGGACTGCAAAGCCCAAGAACGCCACGAGGGCGAGGCGGCCTGTAAAATTCCATGGCAAACACATTAAATTTTCCAGATTACTCATCGACGCAAAATTGGGATGTTTGCAGCACCTCAGTGGGAAGAAACAACTAATTATATCACTGAAACATACTTCAAATCGGGAATGAGATTGCTCACCGTTTTTGATCTCCTTAAGCTTCAGCTCTTCGAGATTGGCACCCTTCGAGAAACCCAAAGGATCAAAGGCACCACCTGGGTACTTCCTTTTCTCGGGATCAGGCTCGCCATTTCTCTGGGATTCGGCGAAGGCGATGGCAAGGAATTCAATTGCCAAGATCACAGGGAGATTGCCCCATGGAACTGGGTTGCCGAGGTAGGTAGCCTGGCCACCTGGTGTAGCTGCCCACTTCTGGGCAGACACCCAGTTGCCGTAACCGAGGGCCTCAGGGATCAACACTCCGGGCTGAATAAGAAAGACTTAGGTCAATATCAGGAAGTTCACGAGGGTCACGAGGGTCTAAACGTGACAATAGTTCTTGGGACGAGTGAAATCAGTATATAACTGAGACAAAATTAAATCTGGGTCTAGTACTTACAACGGCAAGCATAGCCCAGCGGGCGTGAATGAGCTCAGATTCCTTAAATCGTTCCAGGTTCTCAGGAACCTCTCCCAGTCCCAAGGGGTCGAACCCAAAGTCTCTGCATGCATGTTACACCTCTCATCAGAAACTATAACACTTTTCAATTAAGACTTACCATTGTACCAGCGAAGAGCCTTCTCGGGTCATAATTTCCGGGGCCCTTGTAGATCAGTGGGGCTATCGGGAATTTCTATCACACTTCATGGCTCGCAAAACTGGGTCGAGGTTAGGGTTATCTGTTTTACTCATTCACGTTGACATATGCCCAATTCGGAGGAAACATCCCAGAAGACGATACAGAGAGATGTACTGCACGATCATAAATCACCCAAGTAAATATACCCTTAAGCGATTGCACACGAAATTCCACTCGAGATTCCTTAATCCGAATAGAAACAAATGGGTACGATATGCTACCGAAGAATCCTAACTCCAAAAAAACACCATTACGCAACCACGGGCGCAATGTCTAATACCCAGCAGACGCAGCAACTCACGCACGGACAATGTAGGCGATGTCCAGGAAAATATCCGACATGAGGCGACAGCAGTCAAGCGTTTCCATCACTTCTCTAATCTAAATTCAACACAGCAGCCGTATTTTCCAACCACATTGCCAAACAAGTACAGAAACAATCACATACCCTGGGGCGGAGCCATCGAGGTAAGATGGGCGAGGGTTGCCGGGAAGCCACTCGGCCATGCACACACGGCTGCCATTAGAGCAACCCAGCAGGGAAACAGAGCTGGAGCCGGCGAAGAAGCTGGACTTCTGGGCTGTGGCGACTCCGGTCACCACACGGCTCACCTGGGCAGCAGCAGCAGTGGCCATTGCAGACGCCATTATCGCACACACAATGGGGGGGTACTTCGGGAAGAGGTAACGACAACAAGTGCACACAATGAGCTACTGAACAAGTAGAGTGAGGCATTCAGCTTAACCAGAGCGCAGTGGAAGGGGAGTAGAAGCAAGCATATTATCCCCATGGGTGGTGGAGAAGGGATAAGGAAATTGGGGAATCAGGCGGCGTTTATCCCATTGGCTCTCTCTGGATTGAGTCTCCGCCCAGTCCTTGGTCCACAAACTGTGCTTTGCTGATATTTCATTTCATCCCCTCCATCTGTGGCATTGTTTTTCTTTTTGTATGCCATGCTGGACTCTTCTTTGTGGGTGCCCTCGTCCATTACAGATTGCCACTTTGCATCCACTTTGGTCTTTGCCATTCAAACTCCCGCCTTTGCCATCCTCCGCCCATGACGCTCGTATCATCTTTCTAGCCAGAGTTGGCGCGTCCACTTCGAAACAATCGCTTGGTTCAAATATTACCCTGGAGCAGGTGAATGTTCTACCACCAGTGTTAAACTTCAGGGAAAAATTGTCTGTGAACGACGTGGGGAGGGATTGCATTTCTCTGATTTCTTGACAATGTTTCTGCTGCGTTTGTTGTGCGCTATTTCTGCAATCTCCGCTGGACATCAACCAAACTGACTAGATCACTGTTCCAACACCATATTTACTGTGATGTGAACTGATGGTAAAGTGGATGTTTCTGTTGTTCAAAACTGTACTACAATTCCTTTCCCAATCAAGGCCAAATCCATCCACAGGCTGGGATTTTAGAATGATTAATAAATTTTTATTTTCATCCAACTAGAGACTTTGGACAAGTTTGATTTTTGATTTTTTGCATATTTGCATGTTCAATACTTAACCAATAAATAAATACCATCTATGGGATTGTTATATAAAAGAAATTGAGTTTAGATAAAGGGTTCCTGATTGTATTGATTGCTTACGTGCTACTACTAAGTTCAATATTAATAGACAAACAACATAAAGAGGAAGAGGGGGAGAAAGGATGTGCAAAACCATACTTTTAATATGTTTCAAACAATGAGCATATACTAGAGAGGTTCTTAGCATAGTAGAAATAATTCTTAATAATTAGATCATCTAAAGTTTGTAGCCAGTTGATAACAGCTATTTCATAATTTCTTGTGTATTGGTTTATGGAACTAAGCCTCATCAGTTTAAGACATTACATCTTATCTTGTATTGCATTATGTAGGACTATTCATAATTCTTAGGCCACCTTCTCTTTGGCTACTCTCATCACCCTTAGACTAACTTTACTAGGAGTATTTCTCATCCTTAGGCTATCAAATTTAGTGGTGTTGTATTATACAAAGTCTTGTTTATAAATGTACTAATCATTTAGTTATAGAAAGAGGATTTTGATGGCTCCATAATTATTTGATAATTTCGAAAAAAAAAAGAAAAAAAAAAGAGTTTAAAAACAATCATAAACTCTAGAAATCCAAAATCTTAAATTCTAAAATTGTATCAAATCTTATATCTTTGTAACCCCAAATCTTAAATCCTATTAAATCTCAAATTTTAAATCCTGAAAAAGCTCTAGAACAATCTCTAAAAAAACTCCAAAAAAATCCTAAAACATCCTAAAATTTCTAAACCAACATTCTAAAAATTCTAAAAAATAATTAATCAACTATAATAAGGAAAATTTTATAATTAGATACTTTATTTAGCTTCAAATTATATACACTACTATTTTTATTAATTATTTATATATTTACAATAATTGACACAAATCAACTAAATATTGATTTATCTTGAAGTAAAAATTTCACTAATGTTGTTTGGTCTTTTTTTCTAAGTTTGAAAGAGACTTCCAAAAACTAAATCTCCAAATCCAATTATCATCTTTTGTTGAAACTCAGTATAAAACTTGGTATTTATATTTTTTATTAGTATTCTATATTATTTATTTTATTGCAGAATTTAATATAAATTATATTAATCTAAAGACATTTAATTTATAAAAAAAGAAGAGAGAATATGTTTCTATTTTTTATATAAAATTTCTAAAACTTATACAAAATCATGCAAAGTCATACTTTATTCAATTAATTTGTGGTGCAAGTATTGATTTTTTATACTTTTTTATATGGAAATAAGTTTTAGTTATAAGTAACTATTCAAGTAATAATCAAATGACCTTTATCAAGTTATTAATTCCTAAAAAGTGTACATTCTTAAAATTGATTAAAAATTATTAGCTTATAAATTTATAATATTCTAAAAATAAAAATTATATATAATTATACTTATTATATTTAAACATCACATGTCATTAATCAATCTATTCAATTTTGAATAATTTTGACATCTCAAAATAGTTCAAATATTTCCTAAAATTGGCATATTAAAGCAAAAAAGAAATACAACATTTGAAAAGTTTTAAAAGTTTATAATTAGAATAAACACAATATATATAAAATCTATGCCAATTTTTTCTTTTTTAAATAATTATGTCTTATAGAATCCTTAACCAAAACAATCTTGATATAATTAAATGTTTTAAACATTTGAAACAATTGCCTATCAAATTCATATAATATTTTATGTACTATGAATGAAAACTATAAAACAAATACTACTTTCTTCATTTGATTATTCAACCAAAATTTATCTAATTCTATAACTTTTAATTCTATCATCTCGTATCAATGCCCAATCCTTATTAAACTTTGCTTCTTCATTCAATCATCCAAATAGAGCATATAAGACTAAAATTCTACAAAATCCTAAGACCCCTATAAAGATGGTATAAAGAACTTGAAGTATAATGCTGAGCTAGACTAATTATGTACAAAGGTTGTAAAACAACTATGGCCATTGCCAAACATAATATGCATCTACTTTGCTTTGCTTAAGAACTAATATGGCAATGTGAGAGTGTTAGCAACTACTTTTGTTAGAGTTTTATTTATAGTTTTATTTTTTATTCATTGTCCTTGAAATGTCACTGACATAATCATGTAAGCTAATAAGTACATATAGAAATAGGTAGAAGTAAGTAAAAGTAGGTAAAAGTAAGTTAATTCTATAATATTTAATATGGAAGCTTCCTAGAAACTTCCTAGATGCTGCTTTGACTTCATAGGTGTCTTTAATTGACTTTTTGGATTAGAAACGTGGTCAAAAATTGGCCATGTGCCACACATGTTGTTAGCTTGAAGATCAAGCTAACTATGTGGCCCACACGTAGAAAAACTTATCTTGTAAGTTAAGCCATGTGTCCTACAAAGTCAACACCTATTGGAGGTCCTATAGAACGTCGCCACGTAGCTCTTACTTAGATAGTATATATAGAGACAAGAGTGAAGGCTTCTTCACTCTTGTCAATTCTTTTCTTGCTTCTAGTCTGTTTCAAGGGTCTCTAGTTTTCTTATCTTTTGGCAATAGCCATTCCAGTTTCTCTTTCAATATATATACTTGTTTATATATATTTTGTTACCTCTCTTTGAGTGAATGCTCACTTGTTTGAATTGTTTTTTCATCGAGTTCTTGTCCTTGACAGATTGACAAGAATGCACTTACAATATCAGAGTTTTGTTTTTCTTGAGTAAGAGTGGATTACCCCTTTCTCTTGACAAGACATAAGCGTATTAGAAGTTTGCGGATTACCTACTTCTAAACTCATATTCTTCTTAGTATCTTCTTTGTTATCAAGTCTTTTCTTTTTCTTTTGTCTTCAGCAATATCAGACAAATTTTTCTTCTTAGTATCATTATGGCAAAGCTTGTTGAAATGAAGAGTGCAATGGCATAAATGCAAGCACAATTGAGGGAGTTAATGCTTACGATGCATCAACTCAATTCACCAATATAGGAAAGAACAAAAATAGTAGAAAGTGGAGATATAGAGATGATCGGAGCTGCTTCAACATCTGCACCAAATCACATTCCTTCTCCAATTGTACAACACCCTGTAAGAACTAGAGAACCAAGAATTGCTTTACTCGAGAAATTTGATGGTACAAGATCAAAGTTTCGAGGGTTCATCAATTAAGTACAATTGGCAATTGAACTTCAACCGCAAAGCTATCCAACTCCAAGATCACAAGTCAGGTTTATTGGCACTCTACTTTCTGGTTCTGCATTATCGTGGTTTTTGTCTTTTCTTGAACAACGAAATCCAATATTAGACAATTTGAAAGCATTTTTGGCGGAGTTTCGATCTATGTATGGTGAACACGATGCAACTCGTGTCACAACAAACAAGATCCGAATTTTGCGACAAGAAAACCGCTCAGTAACAATGTATGCTTCACAATTTCGACAACTTGCAATTGACATCAAGTGGGATGATGCTGCACTCATCAGCCAATTTCTTTATGGATTGTAATACGAAGTAAAGAAATTGATGCTCAACTTACCTGATCCTCAAACTTTGAGTCCAGCAATCGATTTTGCGGTAAAATGTGACAATCGACTTTTTGAATTTCGATTCAAGAGTCGTATACGGGAACCTCAACGTTATTACTCAATGGCAACATCAACATCTTCGCCAAACGTACATTCGAAAGTAGAAGACATGCAAATTGACGCGGTACGTTTTAAACCCCTAACTGAGCAAGAAAAGATTCGTCGTCGTCAAGAAGGATTATGTTTATACTGCCGAGAACCTAAGCACACTGCTCAACATTGTCCAAAGAAACAATGTAACTATAAAATAAGGGGTACGGCGGTCAAAGAAGACAACATGTCGGAAAACGGATTCGTCCAGCTACAATAGGGACCGTGCAGCTGGAACCTTGTACAATTCCTAATGAAGGTCCTATCCTAGCCTCAAAACCCTCTTCTTGTTTTATAATAGAATTATATTTAGGACCTAAGAATTACAAAGCCTTTGCTTTATTAGATTCGAGAGCCTCAGCATGTTTTTTAGATGAACAATTTGTTAAAAGTTATAAAATACCTTTTGTACAGAAAACTAAACCCGTACATGTAGAAGTCATTGATGGCCGTCCTTTGTCTTCTGGAGATGTCACTCATGAAACTCGCCCTATAAAAGTAACAAACAGTCATGTTAGCTATATAGCTTTTAACATAATTAAATCCCCGTCCAATCTAGTTATTTTAGGTTTATCTTGACTAGAAAAAAATAAC